ACCTCTGTAACTCTGTTGTCTCAACGGCTTTGGGCCGTCTTCCTTGTAGGTTATATTTTTGTTTAAAGGATTTTCATTCTCTAATTATACGGAGTAATTTTTTGACTTGTTTCATACTAGGAATAACGATGAATTCATATTGCAGTTGAGTAATTTTTCATTTTTGTTTTTGTTATGATTTATTAGATTTACAATTATACTCTTTTGTTGTTTAAAAAGATAAATGATAATAAATGAATAATTTAATTGAATACCTTTTAGTTTGTATTCTTGTTTCCTATTTGTGTTTGTGTTCAATTAATGAAATAGTCATTTTATTACTTTTTTGTTAATTCGTACTACCTTTGTCCTAATGTATTTGTCCAATTTAACCTTTTTTTAATCAAACTAGGTCAAACTCAACGAACTTTGGACATTAATTAAAGAGTAAATTCCATAGTTGGTCCTTTATAACAGGGGTGTTTCCATAGTTAGTCCTCTATTATCAAATATTACCCTCGTAGTCCTTTTTTTAAGGGTGCCTTTCCACAAATGGTCTTTTTTTGATCCTCTGCCATGTTGGTGTTAATTTAAAGGCTAAAAGTATAATTTGACATTAACATTATGTCTAGTGACGTGTTCTGGTTAAGCAGATAATACAAAAATAATGACTATGATTGTGGGCTAGGATTCCGACAAAAGACCACATTTGTAGATTATGGTTGTAGTAGAAAGCGACTGTAATTCACAAACGACGCAAACGGAACAACATTTGGAACTGTGTATGACAAAAAAGAAATATTATCATTGTGAAATTACACTTTTAGTCTTCAAATTAACACCAACATGATAGAAGATAAAAAAAGGACTATTTGTAGAAAGATACTCATAAAAGAACGACCACTGAGGTAATATTTTATAGAGTACTAAATAGGGAAACCCCATATTATAAAGGACCAATTATGAAATTTACTCTTAATTAAATAAGAACTGTAATGTACATTAGTATAAAAATGATTTCATTATATTTATCTTGTTAAGATCTTTCAAAACCTCACTTTGTTGTATTAATATAAATACAAATTGAGAATAATTGATGATTAAAGCTTTCCCATTCGACTAAAAAAAGTTAAATTGGATGAGTACACCAGGAAGGGAACATTTGGTTTGTAAAAAAAATTTGGGGGGCGCTGCCTCAAACTCTGGCAGTGTGCTCCCCCCCCCCCCC